CAATATTACTCAACCAAATGTCCAGGAATTGGTTATATATATGCGGTAGAAGAGTATATTGCTGCTGTCGAAAAAAAAACTCATATCTCTATTTTTGCAGATTTTCAGTTTTTGACGTAATTTGAAAATGCCTGTTGCCTTTTACATTGTGTGTAAATTTCATGAAGAATGGACAAAAAAAACAGCCTAAAATGACTTTGAAATAAGTCTGGTTCCATTGACTTACATTAAAAGTAAAGTATGTTTGCAGATACAAGGTTTTGTTCTGAAAACAGTGATATGCAGTTATTTGCAGTAGAAGGGCAGTAAATAACAAAAACAAAGATGTCTTAATACTTGTTTCCCCTCACTCTTTATAATAATTCATATTTGACAGCTCTTTTTTAACTTTTGTAGCCATGTAATTTTTGACCACCATCCTACGGCCCTCAAAATGATGATTATTAATCATTTCCAAAAGTGGAGGGAACTTGCACCATTTGCACATCAATAACTGGATGGTGATGTGATTAAAAATAGAGTTTAATATTGTCGCTATCCAAAAATAATAATAAAAAAAAACAGAACAAAAGCATGTATATAATAAATAAAAAAAAAACATGTATCTCCAAAATGGTCATTTTACAGGAGAAGACTAAAACATTCTTAACTTTCAATGGACGTTAATGTACAAAGATTTTATTCCAAGTAATTCTGGAGCATTTTTATTGGTACACTCTTCATAAGATGCTGTAAACAGACCTCAGTCCTCTACAGTAAACACTTTGTTGATGACTTTTATAATAGTTGCTAATTCTCATTTCCTGAGTCTAATATTCCACTTGTTGTTCCCCAGTGGCCAATCCGGAATAGCAGATTCAACAAAAGACTTCTGATACCCTCCATTAGCCGCCTCACTAAAATGCTTCTTATTGAAATGACTCACATGAGTCAGATTGCTTTCAGGCACACCACTCTAGCATCAAATGTTCTCATATCAAAAGTTCTGATTACGAAGCAGAAGTTAATGATGGCCATTCACAAGTGTGGTTCCTGAATCCGCATCTGTGAGTACTGCACTTAAATCACGTAAATCAACTGCGATGGTCTTAATATAGAAGCAAGCGTATATTTGTCTGTTCCAAACCGCTCTGTTAGACCACCCTCCGGTTCGTTCCTATAAAACAGAGCTGTCTGCATTCATCCAGAAAAAACGTTCCACTTTGAAAAGTTTCATAGACGTCCCACAGATATCGTAACCCCTGTACTTTCCTAATCACAAGGAAAGTGGTTTTATACCCTCTACAACAGCGACACGTGCTTGCAAAACCAATTTTACAGCCTAATGGTTCACATATGGTTCATCTTCATAGGCCTTTAATGGAGAATTCCTATGATTTCTAAGAATTTCTGCATAATTAAATTCTTGAGAAAGTCGTTTAGAGTGGTTTGAAGTGAAATGGTTCATAGGAGAGACTTACAGTGGTGGTGATAGGAACCAGGGGTTGCCATGTCTACAACACAAAATATAACCATTTTATTTACTATCCAAACCACCAGAGAACCTACACGTGTCTTCTGAGTTTTTATACCTATTGATGATGGTAAAATGAGGAATTTCTGAGGACTATTTTGCCTCATTATGCCCTATATTTGCCATGAACAACTTTCAAAAATACATTTTAGGCCAAAACCTTATGTCAAAAGTACTGAACAAGAATATCTATGTTATTAGGAAGTGTATTCATAATCATTTTCATGTAACAGCTTCCAGTGAGGTGGCTTTTAGACCCTTTGGACATCTGGATGCTATCAGCACTGAGCACTTCTGACTCGGCAAGTTTCTCTAAAACGGCTCATTTAACATCCACCTAGTCTGAATGACTTTGTTTACATCTTAATTCATTTCATTATGTGGAAACTTTGAAAAAACAATGGAATTCTTTTTTAAGGCTGGCATCTGCTTTGAAAACCATGGCTCAATACCAAACAGTAAAAATACCAGCGTTAAAAGGGAATTCCACCAAGATCACCACAATTAAATGTTTAAGATGTAAACAGAGTCATTCAGGGTGGTTTGGTGTGAAATGCTCCGTTCTAGAGAAACTTTAAAAGTCAGAGTTGCTCACAGTGTTGGTGATAGGAACCAGACGTCTGAATGAGTTTAATGCCTCTAAAAGCTCCATCACAGGAAGATATTAGATGAAATCATTCCGAACACACCGTGTGATGTCTGAGATGGTAGTTCTGACATTTTTAAAATCCATTCATGGTGGTCAATTTTTCAAAACTTTTACATAATTAAAAGGTTAAGATGTGAACACTGAGGTGAGTGATTAGAGATTAGAGAGGTTTGGTGTGAAATGTTCACGGTGGGAACCAGACGTCTGAAGAGTTGAATGTCCCTAAAAGTGCCATCACAGAAAGTTATTAGATAAAATGTTTAGACATACGCTGCCTGAAGTCTCAGACATTGTTCTGTGATAAAGTTTTGGCTCAAAATGTAATTTAATCCATTTATTTTAATGGTGGAGGGGTACATGCAGGGTGTTGTAAGGCAAAATATCCCCCAAAGACAACTTATTTTTTTATCTTATGACTCTTTTACCACCATCATCAAGAGTTTCATGCCTTTAAAAAGTCTTGCACAGGACATCATTACGTGAAATCATTATGAATACACTGTGTGGTGTCTGAGATGGTAGCTTTGAGGGTTTTTTAAAGCGATTCATGGTGGAGAAGTACATGCAGGGTGAAGGAAGGGTTATAAGAAAACTTATTTTTCAGATAAGTACCACAATTTTACCATCACCAACATATAAAAACTTGTGTTTCACTGCTGGTTTTGGATAATAAATAAAATGGCTATATTTGGGTTGTAGACATGGCGACCCCTGGTTCCTATCAACATCACTGTAAAGAAATCTGAGCCTGTATGTTTCTCCATAGTGAACCATTTCACATCAAACCACTTCGAATTTGTTTACTTCTCAATGAATTCAACAGAAATTTTGAAAAATGGGTGGAATTCCCCTTCCACATAGTATTTGTTATGTATCTAGCTAGGTAGTACAACAGGTTTTTCAAATGATCAAAACAAACTGTTAAGATCTGTCTGTCTCTATGCATGTCGTCCCCCTGCTTGCTGATTTTAGTGGCTGGAAATGGCTCGCAGGCTTTGAGTCCAGGTTAGGGTCGATGGTGTTCAACACAAAAGAGGACGAGGCATCCCAGTGAGGTTCCACTGTAAAGGTCGGCATTAAAACTCACCACTCTCATTAAGTCTTCTACCCTTCTAAGCAAATGACCTTTTCCCAGACTGCCACCAGCCCCCCTTTCTAACCATCCACCCATTAACACACACTGGCTGTTGTTCTAAACCTGCCTGTGCCAGTGCTTTGGACAAGCTGACGATAAGCAGACGCCCTTTAGGCATATAATTATGGGCATCACTGCTATGCTGGAGATACACAGGTAGGCAGCATTTATTAATTGAGCATTCAAATAAAGACAAGCCTAGACACTTAGAGGGAGAGTCCTATGAATTTCAAAATTATTATATTATTAAATTGTTGAGATTCAAACAAAGTCATTCAGTGGTTTTATGTGAAATGGTTCATTTACAGCGATGGTGATAGGAACCAGGGGTCACTACGTCTGCAGCATAAAGAGCCATATGCAAAGGTTTGGCTACACCTGGTCAAAGTACACATCCTCTACAGAGGATACACTTTGGCATATTTTATGTCTCCAACACAAATACAGCCATTTTATTTGTGGTAAATACTTGAATACTTGAAAAATGACATTAATTTATTAAAATACTTGATACTTGAAAACCAGGAGAAAATGCTTTCTCTGGGGACTATTTTGCCTTGCAATGAACAGATTTGAATATATATATATATATTAACCCTTGTGTGGTGTTGATGTGTTTGTTACTCGGTGGTCTGGTGGACCCACCGCATGTATGTTTTTTTTTTAAATCAATACAGCCATAACGATTTATGTAAAAATACTAGATGTTTAAAATATCACAAGTGGCCAGTGGGTTCTCCTTTAGCAGCTGTAGCCAGTCAGCAGCCTGTCCATGTTGTCCACCCTCACACACACACACACACACACACACACACACACATACACACAAACACACACACACACTAACAGCAGGCCATGTAGGAGGAGAACAGAGTGAAGGACACAGCACCTCCACACTTTTACTCCTTGCGGGTTCACCCAACACCACATGTGTAATATAAATGTGTGGGGGTTTCAGTGTGAAGTCAACTATAAATGTGTTATTTTATATGTTCTTCACAGAAAATGAGCAAAGGCCAAGGAATCTGGGTTTGAAATAATAATAAATCATCATTTTTTCTTTTGGTAAACAATGAAAATGGGTCCCACAGACCTGAACACCACACAAGGGTTAATGTGCGTCTGGTTCAAAGTTTTTCTTAGGACTCTCTAATGTGATTAATCACTATGAACTACACAAAATAAAGCGATTACTTGTGATGAATTATTTTAAACGTTTGACACTCATTTAACTACATTAAAAATCTGTGTGTTAGTTTGTGCCCTGCTCTCCCCTTTTGCCTGAGAGTGCTGAGAGCTTTTGCACAGCAGAAGAATCATCCGTGATAAATGTTCACCTACGGTTTGCATTGGAGAGAGTCAGTATATACATTGGAAATGCTGGTGTGTTTGCAGGTGCAGTGGATTAAAAACTGGGCACTCACTCCTTCACAAAGATGCTCTGACTGATGCTTAGTTTCCCCTCAAAGGCTGTTTCCATTAAATCACTTAATTACTGGCTAATTAAGTGCATGTGTGTTCAGTGTGCTGGGATGTGAAAGGTCACTTTCCGATAGAATCTTTGCAGACAGTGGCTGCGTCCGATAGCACATACTCTCATATTAGAGTACCAAAATAGTACATCACTGATAGTACCACGTTAATTAGTTCAGCACGTATAGCTTAATATGTTATTTTGGGCGCAGCCGATAAACCAGTCTTACCTTAGCTTTTTCTCCAGGACTGACCCCCAGCTCCAGCAGCCTCTCCACTATAGCAAGACGGTTCTCTCGTACCGCGATCATCATAAGGCTTAAGCCTGACTCCTTTAAAGAAAGAGGCAGAAATACCAGCACGTCAATGTAGTTAGTGCAGTTAGAGGCATGCAAAACTGAAGTACACAGCAGCCTAATTTATTGAAAATCCAGTTTTGGTTACCATCATAGACCTTTTTAGGTTTATTTTTGACTAAATGACATTAATTTACGACACTAATTTAGTCCAGCTTTTGATATTAACCTGGATTTATGCAGGTTATTGTGACTAAATGACTCTAATTTATGTCACTAACACAGTCAAACTCAATGATTTTTAGTCTGGATTCATGCGTTTATTTTGACTAAATGGCACTAATTTATTACATTAACTTAGTCAAAGTCCAGTTTTGGATACCAGCCTGGACTTATTTAGAATTATTGTAACTAAATGACATTAATTTATGACACTAACTAAGTGAAATTCTGTTTTGAGTACCAGCCTGGATTTATTTAGACTAAATGACACTAATTTTAAGACACTGACTTTGTTAAATTCCAGTTTTCAGATATTAGCATAGACTTATTTATGACACTAACATAGTCAAATCCCAGTACTGGATACTGCTCTGGACTTATTTATGTTTATTTAGACTAAATTACACTAATTTATAGAAATAACATAGTTTCAGTCCAGTTTTGGATACTAGCATAGACTTATTCAGGTTTATTTAGACTAAATGACACTAATTTATAGTACTAACTTAGTCAATTTACAACTTTGACTTTGTTTTTGGAGATTTTGGATTCGAGTGTACACTCACTAAGGTTTATTCAGACTAAATGACACTAATCTGCATTCCTCTTTGTTTGTAAGCAGATTCCTTGCTACTTGTAAGGAAGCTGTTCATTATAGCGTAAATCTAGGGACGCACGAAAGTATCAGAATTTAAAAAGGGTATCGGCAAATGATTGCTTTCTTAAAAAATGAATTTCCCTGCATGTGTAACCCTACAGAGCGAAATATTATTCTCTGTAATGCTGATCCAGGCTAATTTAGTCCCAGCAGATACAGACATGAACATTATGAATAAAAGATATCACCATCGGCCCACAGTTCCCACATCAGTTCATTCCTACTTAAAGAGGAACTCTTTTGATTTTTAATTTTTTTTTACATAATTAAATGGTTAAGATGTAAACAAAGCCATTCAGAGTGGTTTGGTGTGAAATTCTCTGTTCTAGAGAAACTTGCCGAGTCAGAATTGTTCACAGTGATGGGGTAGGAACCAGACGTCCATCTCTAAAAGCTCCCTCACAGAAAGTAATTAGATGAAATGTTTAGATATACACTGTCTGATGTCTGAGATGTTGTTTTGTGATAAAGTTTTGGCTCAAAATGTATTTCAATCCATTTATTTTAATCCATTCATGGTGGAGGGGTACATGCAGGGTGTTGTAAGGCAAAATAATCTCCAAAGAAAACTTGCCATCTTCAACATTACATACTAAAACTCAGAAGACACGTGTAGGTTCACTGGTGGCTCTGGATAGTAAATAAAATATATTTGTGTTGTAGACATGGTGACCCCTGGTTCTTGAATGACTTTTTACATCGTAAGGACTTAATCAGTTCAGAAATCTGGAAAAGTTGGTGGAATTCCCCTTTCAATTAACTGCTCCTTACAACTGAAAATGTATCTGAGTGCGTGCAGAGCAGAAACCCGTGCAGACAAACTTACCTCGTCCACTTGGCAGATGTCTGGATCTCCCTTGTCCAAGGCTTTGAGTGTTTGTTCGAGTGCGATCCATTCTGCTCTCAGGCTGAGCTGCAGCAGCCGCTGAGCGCTCCCGGCGCTCACACCAGCACCTTCGGACATCTTCTCAGAACATAGTCCGACAACGACACCCTGAACACAGCGATACACCCTGATCACAGCGAGACACCCTGAACACAGCGAGACACCCTGATCACAGCGAGACACCCTGATCACAGCGAGACACCCTGATCACAGCGAGACACCCTGAACACTGAGTTATTCTGCTTTAACGGCTCCCAGTCACTGGTCTCTCCTGCAGGGGTCTGATGAGGAGGCTGTCTGCTCGCAGCAGGAGGTAAGAGTCTCTCTCTCTCTCTCTCTCTCTCTCTGACTCCGCCCACAGCGGATCCTGTTACCTTGGAAACGACTAATTTGACTCCCAAACACTCCGCTGGGGCAGCTGTCTGTAAAGTATTCCACAAACACAACAAACTAATGAAACTTCTCTATCTTTTTGGACGATTCTTCATGCAAAGCTTTACACTCCTGAGAACGCTAGAGTAGCCGGCAAGACTCGCTAACAAAGCTCAGAAGTTTTATTCCTTTGCCTTTTTTAGTTTCAGAGACATATTCCTGAGTTCTGGTTACTTTTACGGATAAAAATCACAGAAAAATAGTTTTGTTTATTGAACAATGTAATATAGACACGCAGAGGGATTGACAGTTTAAAAACAACGCAGGACAAAAGAGTTACCGAAGGTAAATCCCGCATTAAAGGGAATATGTACATACATTTTTCAAAACATTTGTCAAGTTTGTACAATACACACACACACACACACACACACACACACACACACATATATACATATATATATATATGACCTAGAGCCCAGTTTGCCAATGAAGGTCGAAGTCTGTGCCCAGGCTGTAAAACCATGTAAAACCCACTTGGGCTATAAACTAATGGCCCATATAAACCCAACATACACTAACCATTATAGTTCTACATTGTACCCATCTTATACCTATCTTTAACCCACTTGGGCCTTCGTGGAGACTGAGGACAAAATGAGTTGGGTCCAAAATGGGTCACTTCATTTGGCCCATCATAAACCCACATGGGGCCCATATGGATATGCTAGATACACACACACACACACACACACACACACACATATATATATATATATATATATGTATATATGTATATATATATACATATATATGTACACATGTATTTACAGTGGGTCACCTCACAGCAAGTAGGGCCTGGGTTCAGTTCCCAGACTGCTGGGCGACAGGGTCCCCTCTGTTCTCCCCGTGTCTGTGTGGGTTTCCTCCGGGTGCTCCAGTTTCCTCCCACAGTCCAAAGACATGCAGTCAGGAGAATTGGAGATGCCCTAGGTTTGTGTGAATGTGTATGTCTGTGTGTCTGGATTTCTGCCTTCTGCCCAATGACTGACCGCTGGGATAGGCTCCAGCACCCCCCAACCACCCCCCACTCCGACCCAGGAGGATAAGTGTAACATATTCCATTACAATACTCAAAAAGCAAAGAATTCAGAACACATTTAGAGTACAATTCCAGTAAATCTTGGTAAAGCACATGGAAAAAACTTTCCACCTAATTCACACTGCTCCTCACTGTCACTGTTTCTAGTTCAAGAGGCTTTTTTTGTCATTCCAGCTCTAAACAAGTACACAGTGAAACGAAACAAAGACCAGCACACAGGAACACAAGTGCGAGACAATACAATATACACAGTGCAGACAATACAGTACAGTAAATAAATACAAAAGACTTACAATAAATACAAAACAGAGCACAGGCAGCACACGGTGTTTGGCAGTTTTATTCATGTAATTATTCTTTTAATGTTTCATGAATATATATATATATATATATATATATATATATATATATATATATTTATATATATATATGACCATGTAGGTGCACTTTGTAGTTCTACACTTTGTAGTTCCACAATTACAGACTGTAGTCCGTCTGTTTCTCTGCATACTTTGTTAGCCCCCTTTTACCCTGTTCTTCGATAGTCAGGACCCCCACAGGACCCCCACAGAACAGGTATTATTTGGGTGGTGGATCATTCATCATTCATCAGCACTGCAGTGACACTGATGTGGTGGATCAGACACAGCTGTGCAAAATATACAGACAAACAGATGGACTACAGTCTGTAACTGTAGAACTACAAAGAGCTCCTATATGGTAAGTGGAGCTGATAAAATGGACAATGAGTGTACATAAAAAAGGTATGAGTACTTGTATATTGAATATAAACAATAATTCAATAATTCCAAAAATAATAAATTCAAGAGTTATTTAAGTTTGTTTACATTTTCTTCAAGATTTTAAGAAAAGTTGTTATTTTAAGTCAGGATTTCGACATAAGTAAAAATATTGACAGAGTAAGTCATAAAAAACTCATACTTTTTTGCTGCAAGGGAGGAAAGTTTCTTTGTTGGAGGAAATTTCATATTTTTTTTTAATAAAGAAAAAAAGAATTCAAATTCATTCTAAATGAGTGAAAAGTGTGCGATTAGTAAATTGCCTCTACTGCATTTCCTTCCTTGAGGTAAAACTAACGGTTTCATGTTGTTATTGCGGTCGCTGTCTGAATATTCAGCCATCTCTGCTGCCATCTAGTGGCTGTTCTCGTTCACAGCCTCCCACCGGCTGTTTCAGTCAGTTCGAGTCATCACATGATAACGAGCGAGCGACGGCTTCAGCGGAACGCGAAAGCTGATTGGTCCACGCAGGTGTCAATTTCACAGTAAGCGCGAATCCGGAGATATGATTGGTTGTAAACGCTGCGTCGCGCTGCAGGCCGGCGTGGCAGAAGCGGAAATACGAGTCGGATAAAGTAGCCTACAATTTTGTCTAGCAGTGGTCAGAGAGGGTTACAGGAGAAATCTGATCAGGTATGTATTTCATGGAGGAGTGAATGAGAGGATAGATGTATTCAGGTTTGAATTTCAGCGGTTAAGAGGTGCTTAAGTGTGCAGTAACAGTGAGCTAATGAGTAAATGTACACAGCCATGCATTTCATCTAACTGTGATCTGAATGTGAAATACACACGTTAATCAGTTCCTCATGTAGATCACTGTTAGATCTAATTAAGCTATTTATCAGATCACTGTTAAAAGGGTGAAAGGGAAAAACAAAGCCTACTTTGAGGTCACAGTCTGATGTAATTATCAGACAGCAGTGAACTTGACAAGACTGAGACCTCAGACTGAGACCTCACCTTCAGATAATCTGATGAAGGACCATCAGTTCCTGTTTTAAAGTTACCTTTAAACCCAGCAGCGCTCTTATCAGCTCTGATAAAGGAACAGAGCTGTCAGCAGTTGCAGAGCTGGATAGGTGGAGTCTGTCTGTCTTAAAAGCAAAGTCTGTGTGCTTTTTCAGGTGGAAGTGCTTCAGACTGAGATTCCTTTCACAGGTTTCAGGGCTCGAACATCATGTCTTACCTTCCAGCTCTCTTCAAGTATGTGGACGAGCACCAGGACCAGTACGTCCAGGTATAGATACAGATCTTGCACTCGTTCTTTTATCAATGAAACCCTTTTCGAGAGCAATGCAACTATGACTGATGACTGTAACTGATAAATACACTGTAAAATGTGGCTCGTCAGATCTACCTAAAAAAATTACTTCATGTGGTAACAAGTAAATTAGCTAGTTTTATTCAACCTAAATAAAAACTGAATAAACGATTATTTCAATTTTTTTAAGTTGAATAACACTTGTTCAGTTACTTGTTACCACATGAAGTCATTGTTTTAAGTAGATCTGACCACTTTTTACCATGTAGTGAAGATCATAAAGGGGAATTCCACCAATTTATCAAAGTCTCTGCACAATTCAAAGTAAGCTGAGTCATTCAGAGTGGTTTGGTGTGAAATGGTTCAGTGTAGAGACTCTGATTTCTTTACAGTGGTGGTGATAGAAACCAGGTGTCACCATGTCTGCAACACAAATATAAACATTTTATTTATCATCCAAAACCACCAGTGAACCTGTATGTGTCGTCTGAGCTTTATATGTAATGTTGATGATGGTAAAATAGAGGTAAATCTGCAACAAAAGTTCTTTTTAGGGACTATTTTGCCTCACAGCATTCTCCATGTACATATCAGCTGTGAATGCGCTTAGAACAACTAATAAAAAACAGTTTAGGCCAAAATCTGCTCAAAATGATCATAAAATAATGTCTCTCAAAGTATTCGTAACCATTTCATAAGAACTTTTAAGAGGGAGCTATTAGAGGTGTTAAACTCTTCAGACGTCTGGTTCCTATCACCACTACTGTGAATAAGTTTCTCAAGAACAGCACTGCAAAAAAAATAATCTTGTCAAGTAAAATCATCTTAAATGTAGTCAAAATATCTAATATTTCTCCTGTTGAAATTTTGTAAGCATAATTTAAGGTTATTTGCCTTATTTCTAGACATTTTTACTTGCTTTAAGTAATTTTATTAAGGAAAATTCAAAATCTCACTATATTGGCAGATAATTTTAATTGTTTTAAGAAATGTGCTTGAAATAAGCAAACCCATCTGCCACTATAGTGAGATCATTTTACTTAATAAAATTACTTAAAACAAGTAAAAATGTCTAGAGATAAGCTAGTTAATCTTAGAAGTGCACAACATCTCCAAATGGCAAATGTTAGATATATCGACTAGATTTAAGATCACTTCACTTGACAAGATACTCTTTTTTGCAGTGAGAGCTTTTTGCACCAAATCACTCCGAATGACTTCATTTACAAATTAATGGTTTTGTTTTGAAGAATCAGTTGAACTGCAGTCTTTTCATGTCTGCAGCGTCTGGCTGAATGGGTGGCAGTGCAGAGCGTGTCCGCCTGGCCGGAGAAACGAGGAGAGATCAAGAAAATGATGGAGATGGCGGCTAAAGACATAGAGAGGCTCGGGGGCACTGTGGAGTTGGTGGACATTGGCAAAGAGAAGGTGGGTTTCTGGCTGTTGTGTTTGAAGAGATGCTCTCGAGCCTTTTTCTGCATTGAGAATGATTTGCTGTTTTTTTTCAATCGTGATCAAAACAAATGGATTCTGGGAGTCTTTTGAGGTTATGTCAGTACAGCATGCCTTGAATTGACAGAATATTGGAGTATTTGTTTTTGCTGAAGATATAATAAGGCAGGTAAGAGTGGTGAGATGCCAGGTTCTTGATGTGATGAAGTCAAGTGAGTTTGCATGAGATGCAAGGTGGGTGTGGTCTCGTCATGTCTCGTCATGTCTCGTCATGTCTTTTCATCACATCACATTATCTTTCTCTGTGTTAGTTGCCAGGGGGTGAGGAGATCCCTCTTCCACCCATAATCCTGGGCAGGCTGGGCTCGGATCCTGGCAAGAAGACTGTGTGCATCTACGGTCACCTGGACGTCCAGCCAGCCAACATTGAGGACGGCTGGGACACGGAGCCTTTCACACTGGTGGAGAAAGACGGTATGCAGGACTGGACTGCCAGTCTGGATCGTTTACAGGTCTAAAATAAATGCCACAGTTACGGAAGAACATCTTTGAAGGGCACCAGTGTGGGCGCTCACAGTGCAAAAGTTTGGGCGCCCCTGGTCAAATTACATATTTGGTTGATTTCCTAGAAGTGAACATACGTTAATCCATCATCTACAGAGAACACATTTTCATACACACTTACTGTTTATGTGCTGAATTGAACAGATTGGTGTGGCCTGTGCAAAAGCTATGGCACATTTTATCTTTGTTTTGTCCTCCAATATGTTTAAATCAGCACATAAATAGAAATTGCAGTCAAATTAGCAGAAAATGTATGTATTCAAGTTCTCACAGATCTGAATAATAAATAACTATCCTTCTGGGTTACTCTAGTCTCGGGTTAAAGAATACAAGAGCTAAGTGACCATTCATTCATCTACAGTTAAAACCTGCTTGGCCTTTATTGTTTATTTAAAATACTGTGAAGCTTTTAGATGAAAGGTGAAACTCTGGGGACTTCTGACTGTGACTGGTGTCACCAAAATGTGTGGTTAGCTTTGAAAAAGGATGAATTTGCATTAACACTGATGATCAGTTTGCTAGTATATAAAAGATGCAGAAATGCGCAGCTTACGTGAGGCTGATGATCCAAAAAACAAGAGATGTGACGCTGACTCAGCACTTTATTTTGTGGCCTGTAGCAGAGAGAGTTCTTTTTTTCTCTTCCTTTTGAAAAAGTCCTGATTCAGTAGCCTTGTGACTTGTCTGCTGATGTCTGCACGTACGCTAGTTGCCGTCACCTCCCCTTAAAACGAAACTAATGTGTGCAGAACTTGTTAGAATGTGGAATATCCTGTCTCATGACAGTTCTGTTCTAAGAGATTGCGCAATAATCTGTATTGCAGTGTAGATTTTATTACTTGTAAGGGTCATTTTTCCAGACAAGGATTAAGCCTAGTGCTGGATTACATTTTCCGTTTGATGGGGAATCCCCATTCAGAATATTGTGTGTTCTGGGAAACCAACACTTACTGTAACTTAATTAATACAGTTTTTGTTTTTAGTTAGTTTGTTAATTAGTAAGGTCAGACACAAAACATTAAGGCCCAATATGTGAATTTCATGACTGATATCGATTTCAAAGAGCTAACAAAAAATCAGATAGCCAATAATATAAGCCAATATAATTATATATAAAAAATATAATATGGTCAGTAATGGATCAGGCTGCACTAGTTTTAGTTAAACAGTGATTCACTGATGAATATAATTACATGTTGTCAGTTGCAAAAAATGTTTGACTCAGATAAACACAAAAATCAATGTCTTAAAAATATGGAGCTTCCCAGAATTGTGTTTTTTTTATTACTGTTAATTAGCTCTCATTGTTTTATTTATATATATATATATATATATATATATATATATATATATATATATATATATATATATATATATATATATATACATACACTTAAAACACTCATTCTCTCTTAGTCTGAACAGTCCATACATAGAAAATAATTAGTTTTGATTAAATTCTATTTATGATGTCACAAAAAACAATGTATTTACATATATGGCCCTATTCAGCCTGAAGCCATTTAGCCCTGCCCCTTCTCTGTGAAGTTATAAGGAGTGTTTCAGCCTGGACTGCTTTCTGAACGAAGCACAGTGCAAGGCATCTAATCAGAACAGAGCTCATTTACGTCATTCTTAAAGGCACAGTAACAGAAAACAGCATGTTTAAAGGGACCATTTCCAACATTTTTGTTGTTTTTTCTCCCTTTAACTCCAGTCATAACATTTTATGTGGTTATATGTACCAAAAACATAATTTATTCATCTTTTATTTGTCTCTTTATCTCTTACAATTAAACGGCTATTTGTGTAACCATGACTTTAAGACTGATGTATGTACATGAACTCTGTTCTGATTGGCTTCTTTGCATTGTGCCTCATTCAAAAAGCAGTCCGGACTGAAACACTCCTTATAATGTCTGTGTAAATGGGCGGGGCTAAACTGCTGTAGGCTGAATAAGCGGATATATGTAAATGTCTTTACAGGAACACTGAATTCTATTTGGGCAGTTTATGAAGTTTCCCTGGACTGTATGAAGTGGAGAGTGAATGATGTGTTTCAAAACGTGAACAATGTTTATGCACTACATCAAACTGTTTTTCTCAGAAAGTGAGGAAAATATGGTTTTCCTTGATATGGGCCCTGAATGAATGGGATGAAGACAAAATGTTCACACGGAAATGACTTTTTGGCACATATGGACCATTTAGAATCCTGCTGAGGTCATGACTGAAATCCTGTTTATCCTGCAGGAAAGCTTTATGGACGTGGATCTACAGATGACAAGGGGCCTGTGCTCGCCTGGTTCAACGTTATTGAGGCCTTTCAGAAGATAGGACAGGTACGTCATACATTTAGCATCACCCAAATCAGGTGAATTGCTTGCTTTGTAACTACATTAGTACAGAGCACTTGTTTGTTTAATTTTTTTATTTAATACTAAACTATTTCAGGGTTGCACACAGGTTTCAGCGCAGAGGCCTTCAAATCTGGACCTTGAATCCGTTTTCCGGTCCTGGATTTTGACATTACTGGTAGATGTGACAGCAGGTGACCAATCAGCTACATTTAACAGTTCAGTTAACAACTAGAGGTTGCAAAATCCTGGACTGAACTCTGGATTCAAGGTCCAGATTTGAAGACCTCTGCTTTAGTGCTATGACTGAAATATACGCAGTGTTGCAAGTTAATAAAACTACACTAAACGTCCAGCTAGGTCAGTCTGAGGCATACACTTCATTTGAAGCTGACTACACGCTGTTGGCCGGCCTTCAGCACTTTATGCAGTCACTCGCCAGAGATCATGAAACATCTCCATCCTTCAGAATTGTGTAACCTATAATAAAGCACGCTTGGCTGAAGTACAGTATGTCATTATGTATTCAGTTCAGAGATCACTTATTAGGCCGCTACAGTAGAGCGGCAGCGGGATCCAAAGGTCGTTTTGTGAACTTCGTTCAAGCTGGTTGGCTTTTCATTAAAGGAAATACTGACTTTGCAGACCTGTATTCAAAGGATTGCATGGTTTCAGTTAGAGAAAGATGACAAAAATGTAATATCACAATATTACATTACACCGATCAGGCATAACATTATGACCACCTCCTGTGGTCTGCTGTGTCTGATCCACTCGTACCAGCACAACACACACTAACACACCACCACCACGTCAGTGTTACTGCAGTGCTGAGAATGATCCACCACCCAAATAGTGTCTGCTCTGTGAGGGTCCATGGGGGTCCTGACCACTGAAGAACAGGGTAAAAGGGGGCTAACAAAGTATGCAGAGAAACAGATGGACTACAGTCTGTAACTGTAGAACTACAAAGTGCACCTATATAGTAAGTGGAGCTGACAAAATGGACAATGAGCGTAGAAACAAGGAGGTGGTCATAATGTCATGCCTGATCGGTGCATAATATAAAATATTACAATGTTACATCACAATATAAAACTTTTCATGATACACAATATGTCATGGTATTAATTTTTCCTGATATCTGATAAGTTGGAACAGATGAAGTGCCGCCTTTTTTAAAAAAAACTATCAAAAACTGTGAATACAATGATTTGTATTCAACATTTCACACATTGTACTGCAGTATATCCACTCAAACAGGGCAAATTATGCTCTCTTCTTGCCATTTTTAGTGAAACATCCAGATGGGAAGTGTTTTTAAGCACTGATGATGTCCACAATATGCTTAGAAAAGCATATTATGACAGATTTTATCACGATAATGATACATTTTGTCACATTGCCCAGCCCTAGTTTTCAGTAGAGAAGAATTTCACAGACTAGTCATCCTTAAAAGAGCGTAAAGAAAGGGGAAAACAGCTCTGAGATTAAATGTTTTCTTGTGCAGTGATGGTGTTGCCTGTGTGGATCAGAACATCCTGAAACAGGACCAGTGCTACACCACTCTGTTGAAATAACGGGTTTAAAGGGTCTCTCCTTCTTCTTCATTGCAGGAGCTGCCCATTAATATTAAGTTCTGCTTTGAGGGGATGGAGGAGTCTGGCTCTGAGGGTCTGGACGAGCTGGTGTTCTCCCGCAAAGACTCCTTCTTTAAAGATGTGGATTACGTCTGCATCTCCGACAACTACTGGCTGGGCAAGAACAAGCCCTGCATCACCTACGGCCTGAGAGGAATCTGCTACTTCTTTATTGAAGTAAGAAATAACTGTTCTCTGCATTCAGCCACTCCTGTCCAGTGCTCAGCAAGATGAATCTTTATGTACAATCAATATAATATAAATTTAAGTTCACCCACCACATATATTTTGCAAAAATGTGGTTGTGAGCTAGTTTAAAGAACCAAGTTTGGTTCCAGATTTCTCTCTCCCTGGCCATCAGATGGATTTATTAATATCCATAATATCCATCGTCAGCACACTTGATGATTAATGTGTGTTTATTGTGCTGTGCAAAAGTATTAGCACCTGATAATTTTATATTTACAAAGCTGTTTATCTGGGCAGTAAGTGTTCATTTATTCATAAAAAACATATTATACATATATTAGGATAATGCAAATAATATTGATTAATTAATTTATTAATATTCAATAAACAGTGCTTTTTGTGTATGTCCCTGGTTTCATTCATTCATTTCCAAACCTACCATTGTGGCAGCCCAGTATTAATTGTAGTGATTTTACCTAGTTTGGATTATCAGTGCTTCACCTGTTAAATCAGAAGTGCTGGTGATGGACACATCTGAACTAGTTTTTTGAAAACAAGACATTTTTCCTATTTTTTTATGACATTTAATTTTTTTTTTTTATTTGTTTATTCCAGTGTTATGTCGTGCTTTTACAAGCAAAGACACTAAATTGTGGTTTTGCTTCAGCTCCTGAGACTTTTGCACAGTTTTTCTATTCAGTTAATATTCCAGAATTTTCCACTATTAGCACAGTAACATGTTTATCACAATTTGCAAAATACTAACAACAGAAATAATGATATGAAATAAATATGATTTTTTTTTTTTATCCAGTAGAACAATGGAAAAGGAAGCCCGTTCTTCATCACAAAATAATGATCTGTATTAACACTGTAAATACTTAAACTGTTTATATTTTGCATTATGATTTTTTTGAGTTTATAAAAACAATGTTGGGCTTCTCACAGTGTCCTCAGTAAAATCCATGTCATGGGACAATGCCACACTGGTATTCAGCTTTATGCCGGTATACTTCCTATTGACATCCTATCAGTGTTTCATCATCTTGATGCGACAAGTTTTATGAAGAGACATTCTTAATATTATTTAGACCTCATTTCATCATATATGGTGTTTTATAGATTATCATGCTGTTTCAGTTGGACAGTCATATTACATCTTTTTGTCTCACATCAGAGTGCTTTTCTGCTTTGCCCTTAGATGGAGTGCTGTGATAAGGATCTGCACTCTGGAGTGTTTGGAGGCTCTGTTCATGAAGCCATGACTGACCTGATTGCTCTTATGGGTGAGTCTGAGCAGACACGACTCCACTTGTGCTGCACGATGTGAACACAATGCTATACTGCCATCACACTGCTTTTATATTCTAATAGTAGGATATTATCTTTTGGACTTTATGATTTGTTGGTTATTAAGACCATTTGACTTTTCTGTCCTAATAACATGAGATGATCATGGAAGCTAGGGTGGTGGTGAAGTGATTAGTGTCTTAAGGGGATTTCCACTTATTTGTCAAAATTTCTGCATAGTTCAGTGGTTGAGATGTGAACCCGGTCATTCAGAGTGGTTTGATATGAATTGGTTCATTGCAGAGAAAATTATCAGCTCTGATTTCTTTACAGCGATGGTGATTGAAACCAGGACTCTGATATCTGCAATGTGTTTTATATGTAATTTTGCCAAGTATAAGTGTACAAAAATGGTAAATCTGAACAAAAAAGTTTTCTCAAGGGACTATTTTGCCTCATAATGTCCTCTAAGCATCTCTCTGGCTTGAATTTATTAAAAAAGATATATTGCTATTGTCAGAACAAAACCTCATATCTCCAAAATGATAACTTTACAGGAGAAGGAAAAAACCTACTTTACTTTTAATGTAAGTCAATGGAACCAGAGTTTTTTCCAAGTCATTTTGGGCCGTTTCTTTTGGTCCATTCTTTGTGAAATTTACACACAATGTAAAGAAAAACAGGCATTTTCAACTTATGTCAAAAACTGAAAAACAACAAAAATGGAGATACAAGGTTTTCTTCCGACAGCAGCGATTTATATTAAGTTATATATTTTATTTTAAATATATTTTTAATAATTTTGACTGTGAAAGATGAATTCCCTTTAATTCACCACAGTTCTCTTACCTCCTGTGTAATGTATTTTGTGTGATTGTGTTGGGGTTTCAGCCTCGTTGGTGGATAAGAAGGGGAAGATCCTGGTGCCAGGCATGTATGATGACGTGGCTCCCCTCACTGAAGATGAGAAGAAGCTCTACGAGAAAATCGACTTTGACTTGGAAGAATATGCCAAGGATGTGGGCGCTAACCGGCTGCTGCACGACACCAAGGTACACCTACCTTTCTCTTTTACCATTCAGACACAGACGACCTGTCGAAAAGGCAAAAGCTGTTTCGGTTAAGTGCTTTCTGTGTACGGAGGTGAAAGAGCCACACCCTATATCTTATTTCTATATGGTGTCCTAATCTGATAATTATTAGGGATGGGTTAATGCTGCTATGAAGAAAAACTAGTGAAAATTAACCAAATAAAAATTTACATTCGTTTATTGCAAACATGTAGCATAATATGTGAGCCATACCTGATAGTTTGGGTTGATTTAGTGATTTAACTGTGTTTTAGAGGTATGTTGACCTACATAATGATTATTCGGAGCTGCACAACTTGCCTTTATTCACCTTTTTATATGAAATGCTTTCATGTACAGCTCTGCATTGCACTCAGGCAAACACTATTTTAAAAAAAAAGGATGTTGTAGGGTTTATTCCACTTCAATTCCAAACTACAGTCTTGCGTTTACAGTCTTACAGTCTTAAGTTTGTACAAATTGGCTGTTGTGTTGATTTTCTAAGTGAAAATAAAGAAACTCTTCCTCTACAGAGAATACATTTAAATGTGACATGTTCTGCAAATTTTAGTGCACAAGTTCTATTTATTTACTGAATTTAACATAAAGTGTAAAATATAAAATGTGCCATAATTTTTTTTTAAACAGGTTCACACTTTATTTTCCCCCCAATGTGTTAAATGCAGCAATTAAACAGCAATTGTGCATAAAAATGTGCAGAAGTATGTTCTCTGTAGATGAGGTGTTAACATATTTTCACTTAGAAAATCAACAAAACATGCTTTTTGACTAGGGGTTCCCAAACTTTTGCATGCAGCTTGACTAAATAAACAAATACGACCATGCATTTGAATAACTGAAACATTTCCTACTAATTATTAACAAATCAGATGAAATAGTATAAGTTTCTCTTTTCCCTGTAGGAGCAAGTGTTGATGCACCGATGGAGGTTCCCCTCTCTGTCGCTGCATGGAATTGAGGGAGCTTTCTCCGGTGGTGGTGCCAAGACAGTCATCCCACGCAAAGTCAACGGCAAGTTCTCCATCCGCCTGGTGCCAGACATGGACCCAAAAGTGGTGGAGAAACAGGTGGGTAGTTATTGCAGGCCTAAACATGTAACCGGCACCTGTCTGCAGCATTCCAAACCATCCAGTCATGATTATGTTATTAATTAATTCAACCATTTTACACTTACCCCAGATATAGTCAGTCGGCCGTGACATGTTTGGAGCCCAAATTTTGCTTCTTGAGTGTAAAACTCCAAGGCAAGCATAACTAACAAACACTAGAACTTAATAGTCACCCAAATAGCTCAAATCGTTTCTGTGAAAATACATTAGAAAAACTTTTCTCGATCTGCTTGAACTGCATCCAGGTCTTCTTTAAGGTTGCACAGCCTTGTCAGTGTGGTTTACAGCACAGTGTGACTTGCCGTGAGCTATAAAAGTGAGCAAAACTTTGGGCAGCCATTTCAGACAACACCAGGGCTGGTATTCACAAAGCAAAAAGCAGGGCTGATCTTGAATCAGACTCCGTATTTACGGCATTATGACGTATGCCTGGATGAGGTCTGAGCAAGCTGAGAGAAGTTTTGCTGATGGATTTTTACAGAAATGATGTGGGCTATTTGGGTGACTATTGGGTTCTAGTGTTTGTTTGCAACGGTAGCTGAAACTAAACTAAAGAAGCAAAATTTGGACTCGGCGGACTGACTACATCTGGAGTAGAAAAACTGTGTAAATTCGATTTTTTGCCAAACCATTCCTTTAAGGATCTCCAGCCAGGCCACTTCTTTTGGTTTCTTACACCTAGAAGTGAGGGATTCAAGTGTTGACCACCTGCTTCATATGTACTGGGAGCTGAAATGTGGTATAATAAGGGTCCTCAAGGAAGTCAGGAATCTTTGATGCGTTGAATGTGAAGAGTCATTGTTGGAGACGTGTCAGCATTGAGGAGCTGTTGGCTGATTGGCCCTCCAGCAGTGCCAACCATATAGAGCATGTGGCCCCGCAGGTGCTTCTGACAGAAAGAACAATAACCTACACCCTTTCCATCAATGCAAGAAATGTCCTCCATGATTGTCATCCCTTGAGAATAGAAAGATTATTATACGCCCTGTTGCTATGTTGCTTCATCAGAACAAAAACATTGCAGATAAACTTACAATACCTGTTGGCACAACTTGACTTAATAGAAAAAAAAAGTAAAATTATCTGCCAGTAGACAAATTTCAGTTGATAATTACTCAAGACAAGTAACAAACATCTATAAATAAATACAATTATATCATAATATTCTTACAACAGTCTCATAATGAGGGATAATAAATGTTTTGACTAAATTTAACATGTTTGCACTTGGAAGATATCATTTTTTGAATTTTCTCTCTGCAGATGAATTTCAGCTTTTGATAGAAAGAGTTGGAACAAACTTGGTGTTTTGGACACTGTTTTTAAGAGACCTTGCAGAAATCATATGACGTGCCTGTCTCTTAGGTAACCTCCTACTTGGAGAAGAAGTTTGCCGAGCTGGAGAGCCCCAACAAGATGAAGGTGTACATGGGCCATGGAGCCAAAGCCTGGGTGTCTGATTTCAACCATCCTCACTACATGGCTGGAAGAAAGGCCATGAAGACTGGTAAGTTACCATTAGACCATTTTGTGTTACTGTACACACTTAAAATGATGGTTCTTCAAAGGTTCTTTAGTAAGAAAATGGTTATATATAGAACTCTTTGCATGATTAAAGGTTTGTATTGTGAAATTGTTTTTTAGTTTGATGGAGAATATTCTGTATATGGCTCTATATAGAACCTTTTTTCAAAAAGGCTCTATATGGCATCAAAAAGGTTCTTCTATTGGTACAAGCTTGACATTGTAATATTAGTAGAACCCATTTTTTTTGCTGTATAGAATTCTCTTCAAAAAGTTTGTACATAGAACCATATAAAGCACATTCTCCATCAATCTGAAGAAATGTAGATATGTCAGGCTTCTACCAATAGATTGTTTTGGTGCCTTATAGGACCTTTTTTCAAAAAAGGTTCTATATAGAACCATGTACAGCACACTCTCCATCAGTCTGAAGAGCGATTCCATAATGCAAAGAACCCTTTAATCATGCAAAGAGTTCTTTGAGTGTTCATGGTTCTATATAGAACCATTTTCTTTACTACAGAACCCTTGAAAAACCATCATTTTTAAGAGTGTAGATGCAGTCAGTAGAGCTGCCCTGTGTTTATCTAAGCTCTTGGTGGTAAAAGTGTTTATTTGGGTTTATTATGTTTATTTTGGCATTAATCTTCAGTGAGAAGAGATGCTTTGCATCAGCGCCAGCTATGAGCTCATTTCCATGTGCAGTACAAAATACCCAGTCGATATAAGACAAGTGCAGCGCAGAATACAATGAAATCATGATGACAGTATAAATATGAGGAAGACCTGAGTGGAACTGAAGGCAAAAGACAGTGGATGTATGTATTAGTAGACATGTCGTCCCCTTGGAATTATAAGGTTCTGTCTGTGTTCTGAGCCGTTTTGAGGTATTGAGCTTCAAAGATTTTGCATTCTAAACAGCAAAACTGTTATGTGGAACACGTCTCTTTATACATGAAAATGACAGACACCCTAATTTTATTATAAATGTACAATATCAAATCCTACCCAATTTGTAAATTTGTACAGAGAGTACAGACTGTTTGTGTTCCTTGAAAATCATTGCTTCTTTTCATGTTTTGCCAGATAGAACCTTATAACTCCAAGCTTTTAGAGAGTTCCCAGGATGAGAAGGTTCTATCTGGCAAAACATGAAAAGAAGCAATGATTTTCAAGGAACACAAACAGTCTGTACTCTCTGTACATAAATTAGTGTTATAACAGAGTGTCTACATTATTAGAAAGTTACATTTAAAAAAAAGTTAAAAGAAATGTATGACATTTTTATTATTTATGTATTTAATTTTGTTTTAGGACAAATTATTCAATCTTATTCAAAAAAGCATTGATTGATAGATTAAGTATAAAGTTCAGTGCTAAATATTTTGTCCAGTGCAGAGGTCAGTTTTAGAGTTTTAGGTAGAAACCAATAGTTTAAGTTTCCAGCTACTGTAAAACTGTCCCAGCAAGTAAGTGTAGCAGGTCAGTCTAAAGGCTGTGTGAGGTTTTGTTTTATATCTGAAATGTGACTCTAATGTACCAAAATGTTTTATTTTGGGAGAAAGAAAAAAAAGAAGAGATGGATAAATTAATTAAATTAATGTTTATGTTGTGATTAAGACCCTATCAATTCAATGGTACCCTGTTTAATTGCCTTTAAGGCTTAATATTTATAAAATGTAGGGCGATAAGAATTTTTAAAGAACTGTAAGAAGACAGGCAGAGTTTCAGTAACATGTTTTCATGTTTCAAAAAGTTTTATAAACTTTTCCTGCAGCCACTGAGCAGTGGGCGACTTGACAAAGAAGCAGAGCCTGATTGGTCCTCTTGTGTGTATTTGAAGTGCTGATCGCCTCACAGATAGAACCTTATAGAACTAAGATAGAGTTTGACTTTGGAGAAGAAACTATTTGTTTTCTAGATGAAGAGCCCCAAAAAATGCACACAACTTAAAAAAAAAAACACCACGTAATGTTAAGAAGTGACAGAATAAGAAAATGTGAATAACTTAATTTTGACGAAAATGTCAGATAGGACCTTATAATTCCACGGGGATGATTTAGTCTTGCGAAGCCAGATGTGATCTGATGTGATCTTGTAATGAGAGCATCTCTGGATAAGCATGAGAAATTCTGGGCTAAATTTGGGTCGGAATGTTGACTCATTAGAGTGGGAACTGAATTGGCAGCAAAATGTGGCTGGATGGGGATCTCTAAGGCCCTGTTTGGCAACTTATGGCCTTTTATGTTCTTTTGATATGGAGACTAATTTGTACTCTTGACTCTTTTTCTCTCTGTAGTATTTGGAGTGGAGCCCGATCTGACCCGTGAAGGAGGAAGTATCCCAGTGACTTTGACCTTCCAGGAGGCCACCGGACGCAACGTCATGCTGCTTCCTGTCGGCTCATCAGATGATGGAGCTCACTCCCAGAACGAGAAGATCAACAGGTAATATTAACCCACAGTAATTAGGCTGGGCGTGGCTGATCTTTTGTGACTGATCACACGAGGGCTGTGAAAATGCATTGTGGTTTTGTGCAAGAGCCTTAGGCCGCTAAGCAAATTGTTAAAACCATTCATCTGGAAAATAGCTGTGTTTCTGCCTGTTAAAACACCAAATAACATTAGAATAAATTCAAACACATTAATACAATAAAACGTGACACTTCCAGCCATACAAGTTCCATCAGCAGCTTCCGTTTCATTTAATGAAGCATTGATTAGTTAAATCAAGTATTGGAAGACAACTGCAAATAATACTGAGCTTCCTTGAGAAGAGGTTTAGAAATGGTGGAGCACATTGATAAAATCACTACGTATTAATATTATTTGTGTTTATTGTTGTTTTTTGGAACACATAAATGCTTAGTGACCTATTAAATAGCTGGTTAAATATAATTTTCTAAAGGTGCCTGAAACTTTGTTCACAGTACTGTTTATCTGAAAGTGACCATTCAACTGCATTGATTTTAAAACGTTTGAAATTGATTATAGTTGATTTATTAATCTGTTCAGTGAAGTCACTTTTTCAGATTCTGAATTTTCAAGCTATTTTGGAGGATAGTTTTAATCGTCTATTCCACCACTGTGTGAATAACTATTCAGTATGTTTCGGTACTGAGTCGTACCAACTCAGTCAAGTCCAATCGAATCATGGTGAAATTTTAGATTTCACTTTTTAAAGGATGATAATCAAATGGCTCCCCTCCAATTCCACTGTATGTAAAAACAACCACTTTTCTAGTGTGATTTGTTTTCATAGGTCCTCTTTCATTATTATTATTTTTTTCCTTAACAGGTCCAACTACATCCAGGGCACCAAAATGTTGGGCGCTTACTTCCATGAAGTATCTCAGCTCAGTTAACTGGACCCGTTTGGATCAGTACATCCAGGATGTCTTAATATGATGTATCTCAGCAAATTAAGACACTTTTGTTAAGAAAATGTCAGTAAGCTGATTGCCAGCAAATTGCAGGAAATATGCCAGAAACCATAACTTCATTTTCAGCCGTCGTCCTCCGGTGTTGCACATGAGCAGCACTTGGTATGTTTATACTCTTCATAATGGAAATTTTCATTAAGATTACACTCATCAGTCCATTTAAACAAAGATTACATAAAGTTAACTTATGCATTGTATTTCATGCATTATATGTTGCTGATATACCTCAACACATGTAAGCCTTTGGCCTCTTTTCCACTGTGGAGCCAGATGGGTCTGGCTGTAGCCGTACCGTTCTTTTCCGAGTCATGAGACCTTTTGCCATCGGCTGCGCTGCTAAATCAGAACCAGAAGAAATCTAAACAAAACGGTAGCTCCACGACAGCTAACTGGCGAAATGCTACAGAACATTCAGACTGTCACTCCCACACCAGTCACTGTGGTGCTCTCTGTCCACTAAATAGGTTTTATTTGAGTGTCGGTTAGCAAGAACCAAGCCTGTTCTTTGGTGGGTGGAACCTTTAGCCTGCTAATTATCTTTACTCTAGTGTTAGCCCAGCCCAGCAAGCTGCAGCTCAAAGCACTACCACACAGGTTCAATTATGGCTTTCTGCCCCTCCAGCTGCTCAACTTTGCTTCCCCAGATTTAAATCTGTTATCTAAACTTGCATCAGTAAAGCCTCTGTTAGTCGGAACTGAACCTGTTCTGTGGTGAGAAGAGCTGGAAGGTTGCTAGCTAAGCTAATGCTAACCAGCTCCTCTCTCCTAGTTAGCAGCACTGATTTAACAATTGTTATTAGATTGATGGTGTGACGTTTATTGAATGGTGGACTGAGAATCATGCACTGCTTTCGTTTCTTTGACAGCCGTGTACGTGACCTCAACATATGTTTTTCAGTTTCTGCCGGAATTAAGCATGATAGCAATATAAACGCAGAGCCAGTCAGCGAATAGCGACGCTATTGCATCATCCCAACAAACAGTTCTGTGGCCCTGAGCATGGTCAGTGAACCATGTTGAGATCACTGTGCTGGGCCTTGTCAAACCATGTCTGTGTGGAAATGCCGTTTCTGTGTGCTCAGACCCATTCAGTACAGTGGAAAAGACGCCTTTGAGTATTTTGGCACACTTTTCTGAAAAGCAGCGTTTATATGGCTACATGACGCCTGTTATGACAACTTATATAGACATTTATAAAGGCTTATTCTAACAGGGGCCAGTTCAAACGTATATAAGCAGCCTTTATGCCAGCTGACGCTTGTTGGAATAAGCCTTTATAAAAGTTTATCCAGGTTGTCAAGAAAGCCGTATGTGTCATCATAGCCTTTTAAACGCTGCTCTTCAGTATGGTGTTAGTTTTTTGTGTATGAATTAATCTCAGTATGTCCAAATATGCTGTTTAATGTGCTTCAAGCGATGTTAATTTGCATCTCAGGAAGCAGTGGCTTGGATTTTGACTAGTTTTAAATGAACACCAAGCCTTGATGACAATTGACAATCTAACTGACGGTTGTGGCGCACTGAACAGATCAGATACTGACTCAGTGTGCAGAAGGGCTGCATTACTTCTTCAGCTGCCACTTTCTTTGTTTAATCCAACGCTGCTAAGTGTTCTCAAACTGGTTTAGCGTACAGTGGTAGACTGTCTTTGTCCGTTTTGTCTTTCACCTCATCCAACATTAATCGACTGCGCACTGCCTCATATGCACTCTCATAAACATGTCAACAATAAAAACATGGATCATTCATCACTCTGCATCAGTCTGGCTGTAATTTCTAGACTTCTGACTTTCTCATTTGCTGAACGGTGAAAGTTAATTGCACAGGAATAAATATTGAAGTGGAGTTCCACCCATTTGGGGTGACCCTAAATCGGTCACATGTAAACAAAGTCATTCAGAGTGGTTTGATTTGAAATTCCTCATTGTGGAGAAACTTACTGGCTCAGATTTCTTTTCATTGGTGGTGATAAGAACCAGGGGTTGCCATGACTACAACACAAATATTGCCATTTTATTTACTATCCAAAACCACCAGTGAACCTACACGTGTCTTTTGAGTTTTTATATAATGTTGTTGATCGTAAAATAGTGGTAAATCTGACAAAATACGTTTTCTTGGGGAATGAAAAAAAACATTCTTTACTTTCAATGTAAGTTAATGTGTTCCAAGCAATTTTGGAGCATTTCTGTTGGTTCATTCATCATGAAATTTTCACAGAATGCAAAAGACAGCTCTAATGGTGAAAAGTAAAAATTTATATATGCTTTTCTTTGGACGGTTTTCTTTACCTTTCTGCCACAAATAGATTTAAAAATAGGTAATAGATTTAAAAAAAGCATATATATGTTTTAGGCCAAAACCTCGAAAGTATTGTAAAACAATGTCTCAGGCTGCATATTCATAATTTCATGCAAAAATTCTGTAAGGGAGCTGTTAGAGGTGTTAAACTATTCAGACATTTTTAAAAAATTAGTACAGTTCTTCCAGAAGGACTCAGGAGGCAAAAGTGAATGGAATTTTACAAGTTGACAGTGAACAATTCAGTCCTTGACATAGGCCCCGTCCTTGGTCCAGGTCTTGGAGCATCAAGACCCTCTGTGGCAGGGGCGGAGCCTACCCCCAGTTGGGTCCAGATAGGGACCCAGCTGGTGGTGGTGGGGAGGAAGGAGGGGAATGTTGAAACATAGACACCTGAAAGCAGCAGAAGGTACATAAGTCGAGTCATTTTAAAGACAGCTGTAGGCCCATGATTGGGCATGAGTAATGAATGAATGAATGACGTAGCACTAGAGTCATCCTGGCAGAACTTTCGCTAAAGCTTCCATTTCCCCTTTAAAGAATGTTCACATATTTTTCACTTCTTACACAAATGAAATACGCAAGTCACAAGCAAAGTAAACTGTTGTGATGTTATTTGCACACTACACAGAAATCAAAGAGAAAAAACGAGTCAAAGAAAGAGGTGCGGATTACTATGACACAAATATCAGCACAATATTAGTTTTTTTTTTTTTTTATTTTGCTGCCAAGTTACTGCAGACGTTACAGTATGAGGGGAAAAAACACAAGAAAAAATAGAGAAAGCTAAGTGCTGATTAAAAATGTTTAACAATGTATTACGAGCTCAGGAATTACTAAGGCCGAAGGAAATGGCAAGTTGTCTAGGGTCTAATTAATATATTCTAGTCCTGACTGTAACCAAGGCCCACTGTCCCTACGTGTTGCGATTTAGCGTAAAAGTGCATGCCTAAGCCTAGTTGGAAATCCCCCGCCGAAGGCCAACCCACCTGCTGCCAAGTCTCTGAGTCACATGGAAAGGGGTTGGGGTCAGCCCAAGCCTTGAGCCCGTGGTCGACCAGCTCAAGCCGTGTCCATGATAGCGTTCAGGTTTTATCAGTCAATAGAATGGGTGCTCCGATAAAAATCCAAAATATATACACTAAGAGTCCAAAAAGGGTAACGAGAGCCTAAGAGAGAGAGAGAAAGACGCCCACCGGTCCACCGCTTGCCGTTCCAACCAAGACCCCGTTTTCCCGCCGTTGGTCTCCTCCTTCCGGCTGAGCCTCATCACAATTAATAAAGGCATACGTGAGGTGGTTGGCGCCCCCGTGTGGTTCCAACATGAAAGTCAGTATCTGCCCCTGGCTCCTACCTTTCCTAACAAATGAAAAAATATGTATGAATGAAATAATCTGTAAGAAATTAGCACAGTTAAGTTTCATTGACAGCTTTATGACCAAATCTGCAGTTTTCTCATTAACTGACGATCACAATGAAAGCTTGGCCTTACAGTTACGAAGCATAGGGAGGAAAATGTGATCTGTTTGTGTAGTTAATCAGAATTTGCTTTTCGTCTACTTCTCAAATGCCCATAGCAATGCCTTCAGAGAATTTTGACAGCAGGCCGGACAGATATTTCTCAAGATTCACCCTGAAAACCCTGTGTTTGTACCTTAAAAGTAACTTTTGTCCATCCTAAGTGTTTTTAGATTAATGGGTTTGTGTATAAGTCACAGAATTCACATCAATGTGGATCATTCTACAGTATTAGTTCAAAGGGTGGTCCCACAGCATAAATAAATAAATTTAAAAAATTGCAACAAGTAATCGGCAATATTGATAACATAGATACTAAAAATGGTTGGCAAGTTATGATTTGGCTGGCTTGACATTTGCATGTGCATTCACATCAAAGAATTAAAAGAGGGGAAATAGACTGCAGTAATGGGCTTTGAGCAACGCCGGAGAGAGTAATCAGGAGATTCGGGAGAATTCCTGGTGGGCCGGTAGCGCTATGGGCCAGATACTGTGAGCTAATGTATAAACTTACGCAGATAAGGACAAGAACGCTCAGACAAGCTATACATGTTTTACCTAAGTGTATATTTTTAGTGATTTAGGGGTTAAACCAGTTACCCCACCTCAAGCAGTACAGCTCCGGTTTGCTGACTGTAGCCAGGTCTCGTAAAAGTGGATAGAGATTAGATGAAACTCAAGTTAGCATTTTAATTCCCCGTTCCGCCTTAAATGATGTAGCAGTTACATTCAGACGCCTGTATAGTCACTAGCATGTAATTGCTGCACTGTTTAAGGTGGAACATAAACTTGAATAAGAAAATTCTACGCAGTGGTATAAACACTAATTACTTTGTTTTCAGTTTTCATACGTGATTCACGTGAGGATGAGGACATATCCGAGTAGGTGGGCAGTGAGAAATGCTGAGAGGACCTTAACTTGGTTAGTTAGCATTAGTTTGTAGCATGTTGACTGTCGCATTTAAGACGAAAGCTTTCAAGGAATGAAACTGTCACTGCGGCAGTACGCCTCTTGTCACTGGGGTGGGACTTGTCACTCTCAGTACTTTTAGTCAGGGAACATAACTGAACCATAATCCACTGAAATGATATGTTCTAAGCTGTACTGACTCCACACACCCCGTCTCGTCTCCAGGACTTTATTTTACTGTTCTGTTTTAAAACATTCGGTTATGAAAAGGTACAAATACGAACTTTTCACCTGGAAAAACTTATTTAAGGTTCACAACTGGACCTTAAAACCACTGTTGTACCTTTGAGGGAACATTTACATTGTTTGTACCTTGATGAATGGAAAATGTCCCTGCACAGAACCTTTATTTCAACAGTGTGTGTTGCATCTATAATCATTCATATTAATTCATTTACCTTTCCAATGCCTGAAACATGCACCACATTTCCCATGTACATATCTCCTAGGAAGAGAATTGACTATAAATGTCATGTTAATAAAATATATTTCAGTTTCATCATGCTGTTCTACTTTGACACAGCCTCTTTTAATATTTGTTGTTTTTGATGAATATATTTTTTATGTATTCAGGTTGAAGAGCTTTTCATCAGTTTACCAGACCTTTTAGCAACATGTTACAACTAGCCCCTCAATCTGTTACCATTAACCTCACCTATGGGGTAAGTTGTAACATTTGCACTTGCTGAATTGTTCATAAACGCTGCTGGAAAAAAAAGTTCATGTTTTAATTTGTAGCAGGAGTGTGTAGGTAGCTTTTAAATTTAATAACAAGAAACAAATTATGTCATGCCCCGCTCTCCCACACTGATCTAGGATGACCTTTAGATTGAATTTGTTCAAATTTAAGAGCTGAAAACAGGTCCAGGATCAGTGTTCCTACTGCGACAGTCCTGATAAACAAGGCCTCTGGATATTAGGCTCAAAATAATACAATGCAGCGTCAAAGGCCAAGAATAGATGTAGGTTAGCTTTAGGCTATATTGCAATATTCAGCATCACTTCTGATATCCAATTCCATTTGACATATCGTTACATCGCCTAGCCACGCTGTCAGCTAGAAATGCTTCAACGCTGTGCGAATTTGTGCTTCGAAGCAGCTACAGAAGGAAAACAAACGTGTGCGGCCACGGAATACTTCCAGTGCTTTTGATTTAATGCACTTCACAGCCCAAACAGCTCAGCTTTTGCCTTTGATGCCGTGACACATGAGGGTAAAAAAAAAAAGCTATTAAATAAATAAATATATTTCCTGCCCCGGTACATCTGTCTGCTGGTGTGCTTCGTGGTGCCCACAGGTGGACTGACAGCACACCGGTGGGTCTGTCCTCCGCACGCGGGAGGTCACATCTATCCCACACTCCCCCTCTCATAGCCCGAGGAAGGGCATGAGCGCAGGCCCCGGCGAGGTGGACGGATCCGAATGGACAAACTTGTCTGGTGGCGCTAACTTTCAGTGACGGCCGCTCTGCAAATGGGAGCGGACAGCCTGTCTCTGCCCTTAAGATTCGTTACGTCTCTCCGTTTTCCTCTGCTCCGTTCGGAACAGTAAAGGTCCGTCGGACTGCTTTTTTCCATTTTTTTTTCTCTCCTCCCCTCCATAAATTCACCATGTTGAAGTGCACATCGCTTTTGCGAGACACCATGGCCTGTGGCGGAGGCTGTCAGCAGGAAAAGGCGTGCGGCGGAGGCTTTTGAATGCAAGAGCCGTGTTTACTAGGCTTCGCTTTGAGCTCCAAAGCCACGGTAGATTAGGCCTGATTGGTGAAAAGGATGTCACAGCTCAAAGCAAATGCAGGTTTTTCTTCTTTATAGACTGAACAGGGAGGTGTATTATACAGGAGAGTGGTGAGGAGACATTCAAATGCTGTGATGTACAATTCACAATGCTTCATGTGGTTTTGGAGAAACTGGGTCTCCAGTATACAAAAGTGTGATTTTAGCTGTAGAGCTTCCAAGCTT